CCCCCCCCCCCCCCCCAAAAAAAAAAAAAACAGGGCAAAGAACTAGTCACCATTATTGTCTGTGATCTCCCTGCAGCTAATCTTTTCTCTATTACTGACTTACTATGCCTTGTTCCACGCGGTGCCTCTGTGTGGGGGGGCTATCTATGTTGAGGAGTAGGGATTTGTTTCTTAAAGGAGAACTATGGGGTCAGTGTTTTTCCCCATAGTTCTCCTTAGGGTGACGGGAGGACACAAACTAGCCTCCTCCCGTTACCCTAAGCTCAGTATACCGCGAGCTACAGCTCGCGGTATACTGAGACGCCTCAGCCGGAGCGGATCCCGACCTGGACGTCGGGATCCGCCCAGCTGCGTGAGTGACAGCTGGCTCTGCCTATCTAGAGGCAGAGCCAGCTGTACCCGCCCCCTCCACCATCCGTTCCGCCAGTCAGCGCTGGCAGATCGGAGAGGGGAATCCAGCCCCTCCCCCTGCCATGGCAGAGAGCCGTGACAGGATCGAGAGGTGAGCGAACCCGATATGTGTTCGCTCACCTCCCGATCTACTGAGCCGACCTGTGACAGTCTCATTGTCACAGGTCGTCTAGAACTATGAGGTGAGTGGAAATCACTCATCTCATAGTTCTCCTTTAATAGAGCTTTCCCCTTAATGACTACAAATCTGATAACTGGTTGGGTAATGGTAAAGAAGCAGCAGAAAAGCTGGCTCCAAAGTTCAGGTAAGTATATCTTTGTTATTTTAGCTCCCTAGACGAAAATGAGCACCTAACCCTTGCATTGCAGAGGTAGCCCCACTGGAAGGATTAAGATTATTTCTGCCTGGAGTTCTTAGGGCCCATTCACACCACATCCAGATCATCAACAGACCAGATTGTTTCCGGACCCAAAATGCATCCTAATGTATCGCTATGCTATTTCTGGCCTCTGTTCACACCAGCGCAGTCCGTTCCAGACCAGACCGGAAAAATACTGCATGTCTCATTTTCTCTGGTCTGCACTGGAACTGCGGGCAGGTTCACACCATTTTCCGGACCAGATGTGGTCCGGAAAATGGTGTGAATTGCCCTTATTGGGCTCCAGTGACAGATCAATAGTGGTAAAAAGGTAAGAGTGGGCACCTTTTGGTGCCAGCTGTACAGCAAATCGATAAGATTCCATGTTTAAAGTTGCTAACAGATTTTCTGTCATTAAAGTGACACACTACTCTGTAGGTAAATCTTAAAAACACATTCAAGTACAGTACCTTAACTAATAACAATAATGTATCTTATTTGTGTATCATTCTGCTGTAGATCCTCAAAACATCTCTGAATTTGTATCAGAATTCTGAAACCAGTTGCTTAAAGAAGTCTGGGCAAAAATGATCTTAACCCTTGTAGTGGGACTACCCCTGCACTGCATCAGCTATCTGTTTTTTTCTAGGAGCCAAAATAACAAACTTATACTCACCTGAACCTCACAACTGGCTCGATCCTAGACTGGTCCCCAAAGCCTCTCTTCCCCTCCGCTCCAGCGGTGTAAGGTCCATGCAGTGCATGGGACATTAGTACGGCGAGGGACATTCCATCGCTACAGCAGAGGATGAGAGGGAAGCAGGGACTGGTCTAGCAGCCAGCCTTCTCTGAGGTTCAGGTGAGAATATCTTTGTTATTTTTATCCCTAGATGAAAACAAGCACTTAACTGTTGCAGTGCAGAGGTAGTTCCACTGGAAGGGCTAAGATTATTTCTGCCCGGAGTTCTTCTTTATTGTTATCATACAGGATTTATATAGCGCCAACAGTTTGCGCAGCACTTTACAATATAAGGAAGACATTACATCACAATACAATTCAAGACAAGATGGTAAGGAGGGCCCTGCTCATGAGGGCTTACAATCTATAAGGGAGGGAGAAATGACACATGAGGAGGTAGCTGTGTGGGAATGAATTGTTTAACAATGTGATAGTTCAGTGGTTAGGTTGAGGTGGGATAGGCTTCCCTGAAGAGATGAGTCTTAAGGGATAGCCTTAAGGCAGTCAGAGTGGGACATAGACGGACAGGTAGGGGGTAGAGAGTTCCATGGGATGGGAGAGACTCTAGTGAAGTCCTGAAGGCGAGCATGGGAGGAGT